GTTACCTTTGCACCATTTATAACATTTTTAGAAAATTTTTAACCCTTTCACTGTCGATCCTGTAATATTACAGCAAGCTAGTGTCAGTCCTGTAATACTACGCCAAAATTCTAGCAGCTTCAGATCTAGCGGGAATAAGCTGGTAGACCTACATGTGAGAGAATGGGTCTGCATGGTTAGTGTGTGCAGTATAAAAAAAAATGGGGAGCCACTGGTGCATTATGGGAATGCAATTTCAGTAGTCCCTGTTTACCATGCCTCACGGTAAAGAATACCTCACTCCCTGGTGAATTGGGACTACTATTCCCTTCCCAAGTGATAATTCTGACACAGATGGAAGTGTCAATGAAGATGAATTTCATGGTTTTGGGGTGTTTATGACTGAAAGCAATGCCTAGGATACCAAAAATAGTGCTGAAAACCCAGACAACCATCAACCTAGGAATACCCAAAAAAGTCAAAGCGACTTATTTCCATGTGGGTTGGTTGGGAAGACGGTATGGGTAATGGGTAATGTTACAGTTGGGATAGTACAGTGGACCCTTGACCAACAATGGCATCGTATAACGTTAAATCCGACTAGTGCTAAAAAACTCGACCAACACGATTCGTTCTGTTCGAGATGCGTCCACGTGTGGCCTGAGCGCGCCTCACTTGTTCCATGGGTGCCATTGTTTACAAGCCAGCCACCGCTGTCACATCCAAACATACAATCAGAACATTTCATATTATCATTTGATATTATCACATGGTGACTTATTTTACACCTGCAAAGTAAGTCACCATGGGCCCCAAGAAAGCTTCTAGTGCCAACCCTGTGATAAAAAGGGTGAGAATTAGTATGGAAATTAAGAAAGATTTTGAAGGGTTTGGGGCTAACCCTGAGATGCCTATGCCAGTTGTGGAATTCATTGTGCCTACTTCAAAGATTAAGGAAATGTGTGCAAAGTGGGTTGAACTGCAAACCTTTATGGATGAAAATCACCCTAACACAGCTATTGCAAGCCGTGCTGGTGACTATTACAGTGACAATGTTATGGCCCAATTTAGACAAATCTTAAAGGAACGGGAGGTACAGAGCTCTATGGACAGATATGTTGTGCGACAGAGGTCCAGTGACTCAAGCTGGTCCTAGTGGCATTAAAAGAAGAAGGGAAGTAACCCCGGAAAAGGACTTGACACCTCAAGTCCTAATGGAAGGGGATTCTCCTTCAAAACACTAACACCATCCACACTCTCCCCTCCTCCCATCCCATCAATCATCACCAGATCTTCAATAAAGGTAAGTGTCATGTAATTGTACATGTCTTCTTCAGTTTGTGTGTATTAAAATAAATATTTCATGTGGTAAAAAATTTTTTTTCCAATACTTTGGGGTGTCAGGAATGGATTAATTTGATTTCCATTATTTCTTATGGGGAAAATTAACTCGACTAACGATGAGCTCGCAGGAACGGATTAATATCGTTGGTTGAGGGTCCACTGTATTTACATGTGGTAGCAGGTGGTAGTTGTGTGGTGTAATGCATCATGTATCCAGGCTGGTAGCCATGCCACTGACTCAGCACATTCACAACAAAGGCCAGCTTCAACCACCCACACACCACAATAACCTGCACAACCACAACAACCTTCAAAACCACAACAACCTACACAACCACAACAACCTGAACAACCACAACAACCTGCACATCCACAACAACCTGCACAACCATAACAACCTGCATAGTCACAACAACCTGCACAACCACAAGAACCTGCACAACCACAACCACACCAACCCACCAACAAAAATGCAGAGACATTCATTTCATGTGTGAGGAGTGTAAAACAGCACTGTGTATAACACCATGTTTCAAAGAGTTCCACAAGCTGAAGCAGTTCTAAGAATTTGTCCAGTCACTCTATATATGTATACAGTGGACCCCCGGTTCGCGATATTAATCCGTTCCTGAGAGCTCATCGTAAACCAAAATTATCGGAAAGCGAATCAGTTTTCCCCATAAGAAATAATGGAAGTCAAATTAATCCGTGCAAGACACCCAAAAGTATGAAAAAAAAACTTTTACCACATGAAATATTAAGTTTAACGCAATAGAATAATTACAATAACTACAATAACAATAGAATAACAATAGAATAATTGACACTTACCTTTAATGAAGATCTGGTGATGATTGATGGGATGGGAGGAGGGGAGAGTGTTGAACCTATTGTTTAGAAGGGGAATCCCCCTCCATTAGGACTTGAGGTAGCAAGTCCTTTTCTGGGGTTACTTCCCTTCTTCTTTTAATGCCACTAGGACCAGCTTGAGAGTCACTGGACTTCTGTCGCACAACATATCTGTCCATAGAGGCCTGTACCTCTCGTTCTTTTATGACTTTCCTAAAGTGGTTCATAACATTGTCAGTGTAATAGTCACCAGCACAGCTTGCAATAGCTGTGTTAGGGTGATTTTCATCCATAAAGGTTTGCAGTTCAACCCACTGTGCACACATTTCCTTAATTTTTGAAGTAGGCACAATGGATTCCACAACTGGCAAAGGCTTCTCAGGGTTAACACCAAACCCTTCAAAATCTTTCTTAATTTCCATGCTAATTCTCACCCTTTTTACCACAGGGTTGGCACTAGAAGCTTTCTTGGGGCCCATGGTGACTTATTTTGCAGAAACAAGCACCAAAAACAGTGATAATATGGATAATATGGAATGTACCGAATGTATCCTTAGATACGCGCACACTGGCTAGCTTGTAAACACTGGCACACACGGTGCAGTTCAGGCCACACGTGGACACGTCTCGTACGAATCGTATCGCAAACTGAGTCAAATTTTTTGCGATATAATGCATCGGATACCGGATTTATAGGATACCGATAGCATCGTGAACCAGGGGTCCACTGTACTGTGGAACCTCGGTTTTCATCTTTAATTCGTTCCAGAGAGTCTGACAAAAACCGAATTTGACGAAAACTGAAGCATTATTTCTTGTAAGAAATAATGTAAATCCAGTTAATCTGTTCCAGACACCCAAAAATATTAACAAAAAACATATTGTATAGAGAATAACTATAGTTTTACATGCAGAAAACAATGAGAAATCAATATAAAGCACTAATGAAATGGATAAATGAACATTTAACATTACTTTTACCTTATTGAAGATTCTTGTTGGCATATAGAAGACAGTGAGGAGGGGAGAGGGAGGAGAGGTTATCTCTATCACCATCACTACCATCCTCTTCCACAATCACTACCACCTTCTACTACCATCACAACCACTTACCACCCTCTACCACCATCACTACCACCCTCTACCACAACCACTACCACCCTCTACCTTTATAGAGGGTGGTAGTGATATTTCTCCACAAAACTTTGCAACTCATTCCACTTTCATACTTTGCTACGAGTTCTTTCTTGAATTCTATTATGTTTCTCGTCTTCTTTATTAAGGGGTTGGCACTCGGAGCTTTCTTTGGCCTCATGGTGCCTTATTTAGCAGTTGCATTCAATAAACAAGCACAAAAAACAATGGATTATTACAAAATGTTTTGTTTGAATGCGCAGGGTAATGTTTAGTCGACGAGAAACAAAGTCAGACTGACTCAGAATGCACGCGTAGGATGCTTTGTGTGGGCGCGGGCAGACGGACACATTCTGCATGGCAGACAAAAACCAAGGTGATGAACGAAAACTGGGACAATATTTTGATGAAAATAGTTGTCAAAAACTGAATTCGACGAAAACCGGTGCAAGCAAAAACCAAGGTTCCACTGTATATATTTTAGAACAATACTGATAAACAACTTTTTTTATTGTTGGTTTGTGTAAACAAGTTTTGTAAACGTTGTAATGACAACGGTATTTGTGAAGTTATTGTGTTGCATAGAAAGAGTGGATATATATACTACATTATGCATTATATTGGTCTCACAAGCCACTAAAGTTACTTGAAAAAATAAAATATTAAAAAATAAAAGAAAAATTAGAATAAAAGTAAAAATAATATTACCAATTGAGCAGAAGTCACTGATGTTGCTGTAAGTGGTTCACTTTGTCAACTTTATGCCTCTATTTCTTGGTAAGTATTGATTACAAAAAATTTTTTTTCTTTTAAAACACTCAGAAAAATATTCTTAAGATTTTGGTAAGAAAAAATAATTTTGTTTTTTTAGAATATTTTTCAACACTGAGAGCAAATTTGCGATCAGGGCTCTCGACAGTGAAAAGGTAAAATGTTTACACAGCAGTGTACCGTATATTGTAACAAATAGAAAAGAGGAAAACAACTCTAATATGCATTAGTATTTTGTATGCATACTGGTCAGAGAGCCCGTCGTAAGTCTTGAGTTGTCAGTAAACTAGTACATCAGTAAGTGAGGAGAGGCTGTAATAAGTTATTCCATGTTACATCTACAAATTCTTTTTATTGGCTGAATTCCACTGGTAGTATCATGAAATTGTGATAAATTTGGAATGGTAGTGGAACAACAGGTCATGATTTCATTGTTTACTTATGTTAATTAAGCAGTGTTAACCCTATGATGCACTGCTTGGACCTGCCTGGTCCTAGATTTTTTTGAAAGGCATGGGGAGGTTGTAGGAGACCCAAAAACCTGACCTGATGTCAAAAATATTGCCAGGTGGCATATTTGAAGGCATTAAAAGTTATGCATACTAGTACATCAAAGTCATCACATGGTTAAAATTAACTGAAATTAGATACAGAAAATTAGGACATGGGACTACATTAGTCCGTTTTACATATACTCAAGGTACTGAATGGTTGACAAACAATGAATTTTCAGGAAGGCATTAATGTCATAAGTTGGGGCCCCTACTGAATATGAAATGTTTCTTTGGTACTGTATCCTACTATATATTTGTAAAGTACCAAAGCTAAATCTCCACATAAATACAATCACTTGTACATTTCTATCATTTCTCGCATATTCACCCTAATAATTTATCTGTGTTAACTTAGTATTTTCCCAACAGAGCCACATATCCTGCTGTTCAGGAGGCCACGCACAGATTTGGAAAAGGTACCAAGGGGTGAAAAGTTAGTGTAAACAATTTGGATCTACATCTTCATCTGTCTTTCCAAAATTCTCTATATTTTTGTAAGCCTCAGTGGCTCATACTGAATATTTTTGTAAATTTTTTACTGTATCTGGATACATATTTCTTTCAGGACTTCTGGGGTTGTTTGACCATCTCTTAAAAATTCTAAATTATCTGTCTTTCATAGTGTTCAGGTAATTTATTTATGTTCTGAATAATAAATTTTTTTTCATGTTTTGGCATTTAATTTAGTTTTTTTTTTGGAGTATCGTGTATTATAAAGATGCAGAAATCAGGAAGAAATCAAATAATTTTACACCATTAAATTCATCACTAGTACAAATATTTGTATTCTTAGTTTAAGGTAGTTCAGTACTAAAAATATTTGACATTTGTTGTATATAGAATAAATTAGAGTATATACCATATACAATATACAGTGGAACCTTGACTTATGAGTGTCCCAATGTATGAGTTTTTTGAGATACGAGCTGTCCCTGGGTCAATTTTTTGCTCTGAGTTATGATCCAACATTTGAGTTATGAGCCAGCTCCCCCCCTCTTCCCCCTCAACCCAAAACCTGGACATCTCTCTTGTTTATCTATGATTTCATGCTTTAATTCCATGAAAATCATTCTCTTTTTCTTCTCAGCACTGTCCTTTATACTTACTTTCTTAGGACCCATGCTTAGAAAAATGAAATTAGGCCAAATGACTATCAAAAATGTAAGCTGCCGCAAGTTGGCACAGCTGATGGCAAAACATCCCGTCAGCAGTCCACATGTTTACAGCGCTGTAGGAGCAGTTCTCCTGTGCTTGTTTGCATTCTTTTTACAGTCATTTGGCAAAATTTCTTTTTTCTAACCATGGGTCCTAAGAAAACAGTGCAAAGAACAGTGCTGAGAAGAAAAAGATGATGATTTCCATGGACTTAACCAGGCAATACATAATATGCCTCACCCTCAACATCCCCCACCCTCAACCTACCCCACCCTCATCCCCCATCCTCATCCCGCACCCTTAACATCCTCCCACCCTCAACATCCCCCAACCTCAACATCCCCCATCCTCAACATTCCCCATCCTCAACATCCCCCACCATATCTGCTCCAAGTGTGTAAGTACATATACACTTTATATAATCCATTTTTATATGATATTTCTTATTTTCTCTTTTTTAGTAAATGTATACAGGAGAAGGGGTTACTAGCCCATTGCTCCCGGCATTTTAGTCGCCTCATACGACACGCATGGCTTACGGAGGAAAGATTCTTTTCCACTTCCCCATGGACAATAGAAGAAATAAAAAAGAACAAGAGCTATTTAGAAAAAGGAGAAAAACCTAGATGTATGTATATATATATATGCATGTGCGTGTCTGTGAAGTGTGACCAAAGTGTAAGTAGGAGTAGCAAGATATCCCTGTTATCGAGCGTGTTTATGAGACAGAAAAAGAAACCAGCAATCCTACCATCATGCAAAACAGTTACAGGTTTTTGTTTCACAGTCAACTGGCAGGACGGTAGTACTTCCCTGGGTGCAGTGCCTGCACTCTGAAGGAGGGGTGTTAATGTTGCAGTTTAAAAACTGTAGTGTAAAGCACCCTTCTGGCAAGACAGTGATGGAGTGAATGATGGTGAAAGTTTTTCTTTTTCGGGCCACCCTGCCTTGGTGGGAATCGGCCAGTGTGATAATAAAAAAAAAAAATAATTTCTTATTTATAAGTACATTGTTTCAGTGTTTTCTTTAGAAAACTAGTGATCCACTGCAGTTAGCTTCAAAAATACTCCGTTTTCTCTTACAGTAAAAGCATGGGAAGATACTATAGTCAAAGTTGGACAGAAATGGCGGACTCTTCCACCACTGCCTCTGCCACCATATTATGGCCTATTTTATTCATTCTAGAGTATATATCATGTTTCTGTGTTAATTATATTGTTTATTATGTCATATTAGATGAATTGTGATAGATAAATAAGCTGTACAGTTGATAACAGCGTCATATTCAAGTATTTTTACGTAGTCTCCAGAGTGCAGGTACGGATTAATGGCTTTTCATTAATTTAAATGAGGAAAATTAATTTGATATACAAGTAAATTGAGTTACGAGCTAGGTCACAGAACGGATTAAACTCGTAAGTCAAGGTTCCACTGTAATTTGTATACTGTACTTCTGTGAGGGAATGCTTATTAGACAGTTTTCTGATAATTATTATATTTTTTTTTATGTAGTATAATTTTTTTTATTAAATCAGCAATGCCATTGTAAGGTAAATTTTAATATATGATACCCTAGGATTCAGTGTATCAGATATTCATTTATTATTTATAGAATTATAAATTTATTCTTAGTAGTTATACGCAAGAAGTCTATAGTTTGAAAATACCAGAATTTAGTAATGCCATGTTTATTTAGGATGCATATATGAAGCTTCATTTGTCTCAAAAGGTAGTCATATACGTACTGCATGAAGTATAAGTTCCTGTATAGTTGTCTCATGTATGTTACAGTGGTGTTCTATGGTAAATGAATGTTTTATTTCCATGACAAAATTTTTTAAAAGGTGAATTTGCAAAGAGTTACCTAGATTAATATCTGCATAGTCTTTACTGTCAGTTTATTTACGTCTTTACAAAGATAAATTTGGAATGAATGTCTTTGGGGCAGCTCCCTAGATTTCCATAGAAATTTGTTTTAATGTAGTAGCTTTGTATGAAGTTAAGCATCATGCACATAGTATGAAGATCATTAACAGTATTGTGTTTATATAAGTCCTGTATTACAGAATCATATCTTTTGTTATTAACATTCCTGATGAAGTTTACCGAATTATTCAATACAGTACATAAACACATCCTGGTATACACCAAAATGTTCAGGTGTTCTAGCAAGATTTTTACTTAATTGTTTTTTCTATTATTTACTTGTTTTGAATGTAACTGGAGTATGAAATAGTGATTAAAAATTTATATATAATAATAATATGTTTTACCAACAAATAAACTAAGTAACTTAACTGTGAACTAGTATTATTATTATTATTATTATTATATTATAACTAGGTGGCTTTAAAAATATTTCTTGGCAGGTGTAACCATCATATTTGTATTTTTTTTTTTTTATTATCACACCGGCCGATTCCCACCAAGGCAGGGTGGCCCGAAAAAGAAAAACTTTCACCATCATTCACTCCATCACTGTCTTGCCAGAAGGGTGCTTTACACTACAGTTTTTAAACTGCAACATTAACACCCCTCCTTCAGAGTGCAGGCACTGTACTTCCATCTCCAGGACTCAAGTCGGCCTGCCGGTTTCCCTGAATCCCTTCATAAATGTTACTTTGCTCACACTCCAACAGCACGTCAAGTATTAAAAACCATTTGTCTCCATTCACTCCTATCAAACACGCTCACGCATGCCTGCTGGAAGTCCAAGCCCCTCGCACACAAAACCTCCTTTACCCCCTCCCTCCAACCCTTCCTAGGCCGACCCCTACCCCGCCTTCCTTCCACTACAGACTGATACATATTTGTATATGGGACTATATATGAATAAGCTTGTTTATTGATTGCAACTGCGAAATAAGCCACCATGGGCCCAAAGAAAATTCCTAGTGCCAGTCCTTTGGTAAAGAAAGTGAGAAACATGATAGAATTGAAGAAAGAGATTGTAGAAAAATACGAAAGTGGCGTGCGTTTAGCCGAGCTTGCCAGGATGTATGAGAAGTCGAAATCAACAATCTGTTCTATCCTGGCAAAGAAAGTAGAAATCAAGGAAGCTAAAGTTGCAAAAGGGGTGAATATGCTAATGAAAACCCAGGATTTGGAAGAAGCTATCAACTATATAGAAATAGCAATGACAATTTTTGAGAAGATTGATCCAAATTTTGAGCAAAGTTCAAAAGTGAATGCATCCCTTTTCCATGATGTTACATGCTATAAAGAAATTTTAAGGGAAAGGAAAAAAAATCCCTGAGGCAAAAGTTCAATGCTTTCCTACTTTAAGAAAGTATCATGACAACCTCCAACATCAACAGTTAGCCTTGAACAGCCTTCAACATCAACAGTTAGCCTTGAACAACCTTCAACATCAACAGCAACACACACTCCTTCAAGAGCTTCACACAAGTCTCCAAAACGAATAAAAGTTGAAGAATCAGAGGATGATGGTATGCCATCTGATTTTATTCAATAAACACCCTGCCACTCACCTCTCACACATTAATATTAATATTTTAAGGTAAGCAATAAGTGTATTCTGTGTGTATCTTACCTTTTATTGTGTTTTTAATGCCTATTTCTATTGCTAGCTTAATATAAGTTAGTGTAAACTTGTTGTCTGGCATTTATTGCATATTTTATATGTTCTCTGATAATAATACTTATGGACCTGAGTGGAGGGACAACATTATGTTTTCTCTGGTCAGGCACTAGAGAAAACGTGTCTGAATCTGCATTTGGCCCAGCCTCTCCCCCACTCCGCTTTTGTTTTCAATTCTCGGCAAGAACTTTTCATTACTTCTCCCTTCATTTATGATGGCATCTAAAGGTAGTTGTTAGAAACGATTAAATTCAGTGAACAAGGTATATCGATACTAATAATATGGCTCTGGAATACAGTGAAGGTAGCCGGTAGGTATAGCCCAGGCAGGCTACACTTACCAGCTACCTACACTGACTTCCTACAAATAAATACTACTCACCTCTCCTCCTACATTAAGACTACACATATTTTAAGGTAAATAATGAGTGTACTGTATGTGCATTTTAACTCTGGCTGTTTTAAATATCGTATATTAAGTATGGAGAGAAGGTGGGGTAGGGGTCGCTCTAGGAAAGGTTGGAGGGAGGGGGTAAAGGAGGTTTTGTGTGCGAGGGGCTTGGACTTCCAGCAAGCATGTGTGAGCATATTTGATAGGAGTGAATGGAGACAAATGTTTTTTAATACTTGACGTGCTGTTGGAGTGTGAGCAAAGTAATATTTATGAAGGGATTCAGGGAAACCGGCAGACCAGACTTGAGTCCTGGAGATGGGATGTGCAGTGTCTGCATTCTGAAGGAGGGGTGTTAATGTTGCAGTTTTATAAACTGTAGTGTTAAGCACCTCTCTTGCAAGACAGTGATAGAGTGAATGATGGTGAAAGTTTTTCTTTTTCGGCCCCACTGCCCTGGTGAGAATCAGCCAATGTGTTAATAAAAATAAAATAATAAGTATGAGACAAGGAGCCAGGGCTACCTACACCTGACTTCCTACAAATAAGTACTACTCTCCTCTCGCCCTACATTAAGACTACAAATACTTTAGGGTAAGTAATGAATGTACTGTGTATGTATTTTACTTTTTATTGTGTTTTTTAATGCCTAGTTCTATTACTAACTTAACCCCTTGACCGTCACAACCCCCAATCCTGAGGTGTCTCCTGGTGTCACAAAATTTAAAAAAAAAAAAAAAAAAATATTTTTTCTTATGAAATGATAGAGAATCTTTTCCCGGTTGTAATGACACCAAAAGAACGAAATTTGATGGAAAACTGATGGAATTACGCTCTCGCAAATTTAGCGACCTCGGCGATATTTACAAATCGGCAATTTCGCCCAATTTGAGCCCTATTTTCAGCTAATTCCATTGTTCCAGTCGACCAAACTCATAGCTATTTCTTTAGAACTCTGTTTTTTCTATCAATTCTATCAATTGAGTATAAGAAACTGCCCATTAACCGATTTCAACTACCCAATAACGTGGTCAGAAATTTGCAGTTTGGCCAATTTCAAGAAAATTAAAAATATGACAATTTCAAAATAAGGTCCAGAATGAACAATGCAGACATTCCTGGCTCTAAAATAACATTTTCTTTGTTCATCAGTCATGTTCCAGGCCCCTCTGATATTACTCTTGCTTTCTATTTTGGATTTTTATTCACAGAAAAAAATAGAAGATTTACTGTTATGCAGACTATTGCAATACTGTAATAATTGTACAAATAATGTCAACCCATTCATAACTGCATATAAGAATGGCTAGTTGGACATTTATTGGACAATGACATAAATTGTTTACTTTCGAACATCGGCAAAAATCAAACATTTCCCCTACTTTTAGCTCCATTTCCAGGTTCTTTTCATAGTAAAACCAATCAAAATCACCTCTATTTCTATAATACGTTTTCCATTCTATCAAATGAGACCAAGAAAACGAGAATACAACCATAAATACTATACGAAAATAGACCACAAAGTCGGCATTTTAATAAAAAAATGGTTGGAGTTTTTTTTCTCATGCACTGCATGCTCCAGGATTTTTTTTATATGTTGCACACTGACCACACAGACCCATTCTCTCACATGTGGGCCTACCAGCTTTCTCCTACTTGATTTGAAACTGCTAGAATTTATGAGTATATATACATCAAACACGGTGGCTCGTAAGACGTATTATACGACCGAAGCAGTCAAAGGGTTAATATAAGTTAGTGTAAACTTGTTGTCTGGCATTTATATGCCAGGAACCTAACCTGCCATATAAGTGGGGTCCTACTGTATATGCATTTATAAGTGGAAAAAATGGTGTTCTGCTTTCCGGCAATGTCTGCTTTCTGGCAGTAGCCTGGAACCTAACCTGCCATATAAGTGCAGCCTTACTGTACTCCACCCTTCTTATATCACTTATGCTCTGTAAAACCTCTCATAAGCAACCTTTTTTCTCTTTTATCAAAACCTTTACCTCATCATTCCACCAATCACTTATCTTTTCTTCTGCACCCACCCTTCTATAGCCAGACTTCTGCATTCTAACACTGCATTTTTAAAACTATCCCACCTCTCTTTGGGCCCCCACACTACCTATTCTCTCACTAATCCACCTTTTTCCCAATAGCTCCTTATATCTCACTCTAACTTCCTCTTCCCATAGTTTATAAACTTTCATCTTTCTCTTACTTGCTTTTGCCATTTTCCTTTTGCTTCATCTATCTCTTACTCTAACTGTTGCGACAACTAAGTAATGATCCGATATATCTGTTGCTCTTCTATAAACATGCACATCCTGAAGTCTGCCTATCAACCTTTTATCCACCAATACATAATCTAAGAAACTACTTTTATTATGTGCTATATCATATCTTGTATACTTATTTACCTTCTTTTTCTTAAAATATGTATTATTACCAAACTTTCTATACGTGTTTCAATTAAAGGCCCCTCATTTTCATTTTCCTCTGGCACCCCAAACTTACCTACTACCTCAACAACAGTTTTACCCACTTTAGCATTTAGGTTTCCAACCACAAGTACTCTCTCACTTGGTTCAAAACTTCCCACACACTCACTCAACCTCTCCCAGAATCTATCTCCTCTACACTTTTCTCTTCTCCAGGTGCATAAACATTTACTATAATGCACTTCTCACATCCCACTCTTATTTTACTCCACATAATCCTTGAATTTATACATTTATATTCCCTCTTTTCCTGCCCTAACTGATCCTTCAACATTATTGCTACTCCTTCCTTTGCTCTAACTCTATTAGAAACCCCTGAAGTAATCCCATTTATTTCTCCCCACTGAGACTCTCCTACCCTCTTCAGCTTTGTTTTACCTAGAGCCAGGACATCTAGTTTCTTTTCCTTCACAACATCCACAATCATCTCTTTCTTGTCATCCATGCACATTCAAACATCCCAATTTAAAGTTTTTATTTTATTTTTTTTATTTTTAGTAAGCTGTACGGGAAAAGGGGTTACTAGCCCATTGCTCCCGGTATTTTAATTGACTTTTACAACATGCATAGATTATGGTGGAAAAATTCTTAATCCACTTCCTCATGGATATAAAAGGAAAATAATAAGAACCAGAACTATTAAGAAAAACCAAGTAAAACTCAAGTGAGTGTGTATAAATAAATGTGTACATGCATGTGTAGTGTGACCTAATTGTAAGTAATACTTACAATTAGGTCACATTTATGGATTTGGAAAAAGCATATGATGAGGTGGTTAGGGAATGAGTGTGGCAGATGTTC